CTGCTGTGTGTGTGCACTTAGGATGGGTTAAATGCAGAGCACTAATTCCTAGTATGGGTCACCATACTTGGCCACATGTCACGTCACTTTCACTTTCACTTTCACTTTCACTATGGCTGCCGTCGCATCATCCAGGTGGATGCTGCACACTGGTGGTGGATGAGGAGATACCCCCTGACAATGTAAAGCGCTTTGAGTACTTAGAAAAGCGCTATATAAATGTAATGAATTATTATTATACATTCCATACATTTTTAGCATTTTTTGTGTGAAATCATAATTACTTTGTCCATCAAAAGTGTGCCGTCACTTTAATCAAACTTTAATCACGCTTGCGGTGTGAAACCGGCCTTATTCTAGTCATTCAGATGTGACACTGGCTTTTACCTTTAGAGTTTTTAAATGAGTAATTTTGTTATGCACTTTGGTCGTTTTTGTTTGTTTTTAAATATTTATGTTTAGCTTTAATATATTTTTTTATTTCACTTTTAGTAATTTAAATTTAAGCTTAAACTTGCTTTACTTCAGTTCCAAGACAACATTTCAAATTTTAAAGTTTTTTTTAAGGTTTGATTTTTCTTCTAGTTTTTAATTTAATTTAATTCAACTCAATTCTATTCTATTCAATTCTATTCTATTCTAGTCTAGTCTAGTCTAGTCTAGTCTATTCTATTTTTTATTTTTTTTTTCAGTTAACAAAAACTATTTGTAATAGGTTTAGTTTTAGCTAACAACAGATCACTTCAGCTCCATCAAATTGTAATTTTAGTTTAAGTTTTAGTAATTTTCTTATGTGATTTTCTTATTTTTCTTTTTTAAATATTTTTATTTCGCTCTTATGTATTTTTATTTCAGTTTTAGCAATTTGTGGTAACACTTTACAATAAGGTTTCATTAATGTATTAACTATCATGAACAAACAATGAACAACACATTTATTACAGTATTTATTAATCTTTATTAATGTCAGTTAATGAAAGTACAGTCATTCATTGTTAGTTCATGTTAATTCTCAGTGCATTAACTAATGTTAACAAGCATAACTTTAGATTTTAACAATGCATTAGTAAATGTTGAAATTAACATTAACTAAGATTAATAAATGCTGGTCATGCTTAGTTCATGTTAACTAAAGTAGTTAACTAATGTTAACTAATGAATCTTACCGCAATTGTAGTACTTCTGCTAAAACTTATTTTTATTTCAGTTAGTTGCAATGCAGCATTTTTAAGTCTTTCTTCTAATATTTATATTTTATTTTATTTCAGCTTTATATCAGTTAATGAAACCCTGAGTTTCATATTGTCCTGTTGTAGATTATTGCATAAATGCAGCCATAATTAGACAGCATGTTAATGCAGATGATATTATGTGTTTAATTTAGTCTGAATCTGGCCTGAAGTATTATTAATTATTACTCATCTCTTTGGAATACCTGATAATAATCGGTCAGTGGTTTCAACAGAATAAGTTCATCCAGCCAGTGGCATCATTCTGGAATCAGGTTTTGCAGATCTTTAAATAAGGTGTTTGGTTGCATTGCAACCACCAGAGGACGCTGAAGGATCAGTTATGTCTCACTCATGTCTCCTTCTGCGCTCCTTCAGTCTCTGGTTAGACAGGAGCTGCGGAGATGGATGTGTGGATGTTCTGTTTTCATCACATCATCACATTTCAGACTAAAAGCTGGAAGCTGGATGAAATTCGCTTTTCTGACGGTTTGTTTGGAGTCTTGTTTACTAGACCTGCGAATATGATGCCTGCTGCAGAAAATATCTTAATAAAGGCAGAATCGAGTCTCTTTATTCCTGAAAAAACATGCACAGAGGTTCAAAAGTTTTTGGATATTGAAGATTTTAAAAACAAAGTCTTAATGCAAATTTGTATAAGAAATCTGCAGATTGTGCACTATTTTCTAGACAGCTCTATAAAGTGCATTATTTTTTTTAACCCTAACCATGCATTTATGAAGTTATTTCATGATGTTTTTTTTGGGTCTATGTAAATGATTTATTTTTAAATATTTCTATATTTATTTAGGCATTCATTAATTAATTTATTTGTGCATTAATTCATTTCTTTCTTTATGCATTTATGATTTTTTTTATGTATTCATTTTATTTATTGGTCTAAGTACAATTTTATTTTATTTTATTTTAGCCATTTCTTTTTAACTGACATGTTGTTAACTTTCATTATCATCACAACTCAAAGGAGTTGGTATTGGAGTGGAGTACAGTAAGGTTTTTATTACTTTTTAAAGAAGTCTCTTCTGCTCATCAAGCCTGCATTTATTTGATCAGAAATACAGAAAAAGCAGTAATATTGTGAAATATTTTTACTATTTAAAATAACAGTGTTCTATGTGAATATCTGTTAAAACCTCATTTATTCCTGTGATGCGCAGCTGTATTTTCAGCATCATTACTCCAGTCTTCAGTGTCACATAATCTTCAGAAATCAGTATAATATGCTGATTTATTATCAATGTTAGGAATTTTTGAAAAAGTATCACAGGTTCCAAAAAAAAGTATGAAGCAGCAAAACTGTTTCTAACACTGATAATAAATCAGCATATTAGAATGAGAACAGCTGTTTTACATTCTAATAATATTTCACAATTTTTACTGTATTTTTATTACTGTATAATAAACACAGCCTTGGAGAGCAGAAGACCCTTCTTTCAGAAAGATCAGTAGTTTATGTCTGTCATTAGTTTCTGTATCTGATCAGCAGACAATGCATTTCCGGAACAGAACGTCAGTTTAACAACATAAATGATTAAATACATTATTTGTTTGTGCTGCAAATCTCATAATGTGTTTGATGCAAAACTAAATCAAATGGGGAAAACATTGTAACTCCATAGTTTCATGCTCTCTCAAGTGAAGCAAAGGTAGAAAGTCCACCGAAAATATAATTCTTACATTTTTGGCATCGACAATATATGGTGACGATATGCGTTATTCGGCAACATGCAATAAAGTGATCAAATTTAAAATGTTTATATAAAATTTTAATAAAAAATATGGAAGATTGTATTGTTTTGTGTTGCTGAAAGTCCTTGATTTTATCACGTTGCAGCGTTTTACTTTTTTATTTTTTATTTATAAAAAATATAATTATTTTTGGTATTTTACATGGTCTGCTGTTACCCGTGTGAGAGATTTTAATCTTATACACTGAGAATTAAAAATTATTCATTATAGAGGCAAGATGGATAAATATCTCTATTTTAGTTTTAATCTAAAACTAGGTAATTCAATTGTTATATTATAATATATTAAGATGTCAAGGCTATTTACGGATGTTGAATCAAACACCTAGGCTGTGCTAAAGTAGCTCGCCAGTTAACGTTAACTCGCAACATAGCCTAGTTTAGTTTGCGTGAATTTTCTTAACGTACCTTTATCTTGCTCAGAGAGGAATCCTCTGTTTTTTCTCTGCACCAGAAGGATCTGTCCGTCTTTGTGACTCTTTAATCAACTTCAGTAATCACATTCTGGCTCTGCTTGCATCCTGCAGCCCGGGCTTATTTTCATTTAATATTGCATTTTTAATAATTCCCATTGTCTACTGACTAGGGATGTAACGATTCACTCAACTCACGATTCAATTCACGATTTTGTTTTTTTACAAAATGAGATTTAAGACAAATTACCTTTTATTATTGCTTGGACAAAATGCTGCACGTTTCTTTGTGAAATTGAAATATAACACTATAATAATATACTAATATAGCACTTGCATATTACTGCTCTTTTGTTGGTTTTGATTGCTTCTATTGTCCTCATTAGTTAGTCGCTTTTGACAAAAGCGTCTGCTAAATTACAAAATTTAAATATAATGTAAATGTAAATAACAAAACTAAATTGAAATTTTAAAACAAGCCCCAAATCAAATAAACAAGTAACAAGAGGCAAGATGAAAAGAAAAAATACCATCTAAACTTTTCTAAAGACAGTAAGTTCCCCTCAGACATACATTCATATAAACTCCTACCCCTAATTGAATCGCGATTTGTTTAGCATCTCAACCGATTTGAATCGACACATATTTGAATCGATTTTCAACCGGCTCGCAGTTAATCGTTACATCCCTACTGCTGACATAATATAAACTGTAACCAAGCCGTCATTTCTCTTGGGGGCCCCCTGGTGGCCACAGGGGCCCTAAGCAGCCGCTGGAGTATTAGGGTCACGGCTCTGATAGCTGAGGGTGGATTTGTTCTTCAGGAGTGTCTGGATGTAAATGAAGCCGTTGCAGCCGCTGGCTCTTTCCTCCGTCTCATATATTCCAGTAGTGAGGGAGGATTTAGGTCTACAGGCCCCACGGCGCTCATGGACGAGCTTTATTTAATAACTCCTGCTGTGTTTATGAGCGGTTGTTGCGGTTCATGTGTCCCGCGGGCCGCCGCTGATGTCTGAGCAGCAAACACACCGACGCTCCTCCGGGCCGAATGAAGCTTCTGTGTTTAATTCCTCAGATTGTGTGACGTGCTGCGCTTCAGCCCAACATTTGACCTTGATCCGGATTCAGATGCTTTGGCTAATTAGACTCATTAAAAGCCTTGAGGATAATGTTAATGTTAGTGCAGGACTCTAGAGGAATGAAAGAGCGGTCAGCATTTACTTCTTTATCATTCATCATTGACTCATTATCAGTCATGTTGATTCAGAGTTGTTTGACTTGAGTATTATTTATAAAGTATTTATTTTATAGTATTTATTATATTTGTATAATAATAACATAGTATATTATAATATAGTAATATAATATATATATATATATATATATATATATATAGTATTTTTATTTTTATTATTAATTATAAATTAGTTTTGAATTAGCTTTTATTTTTGTTTTCAGTTTTAATTGTAATAATTTTGTATGCTGCTTTTGTCGTTTTTTCATTTTTAAACATTTTACTTTAGCTTTATTTTTATTTCAGTTTAATCTAAGAACTTTTGGTACTTCAACTTTAACATTTATTCATTCGTTTTGAATTAGCCTTTAGTTTTATATTTTTAGTTTTCATTTCAATTTTAGTTTAGTTATAAATTGTGTGCTTTTGTAATTTTTTTAATGTTTCTATTTTGTTGTATTTTTTTTTTAGTTGTAATTTGTTTTATTTTAGTTTTAGTATTTTTAGTACTTCAACTCAAACTTATTTTATTTCATTTTTTCTATTTTTATCTCTATTGTAAGTTTTAGTTTTTATCTAATATAATAATCTATTTAAATGTAATTTATTTTGTTTAAATGTATTTTATTTCATTTTATTTCTGCTTTATTTCAATTATCAAAAATGTTTTTTATTCATTTGTTGTAATTTGTTTTATTTCAGTTTCAGTAGTTTTAGTACTTCAACATTAAACTTATTTTATTTCATTTTTTCTATTTTTATCTCTATTGTAAGTTTAAGTTTTTATCTAATATAATATAATATTTTATTTTATTTAAATTGAATTTATTTTGTTTAAATGTATTTTATTTCATTTTATTTCTGCTTTATTTGAATGAACAAAAATGTTTTTATTCATTTTAGTTGTAATTTGTTTTATTTCAGTGTTTCTATTTCATCTCTATTGTAAGTTTAAGTTGTTTCTAATATAATATAATATTTTATTTAAATTGAATTCATTTTATTTAAATTGATTTTATTTCGGCTTTATTTCAATTAACAAAAAGGAGTGTAATTCATTTTAGTTAACAGTAATCTGAATCTCACCGAGTGTTCTTGTGTGTGGTGTGTTTTGCGCAGCTGTTCTGGGAGAAGCGTCTGAAGGGCTTGCGCTCGTCGGACGTGTCGGAGGAAGCGCTCAGGACGATGGATCTGCCCAGAGGTTTACAGAGTAAGGCTGGTTGGGTCTGGTTTGAATGCGTTTGCGATCGCTGGCTAACATGGGTGCTGTGGCGCAGGTATGGGGCCGGACTCGACGGACGAGACGCTTCTGTCGGCCATCGCCAGCGCTCTGCACATGAGCTCGGCGCCCATCACGGGTCAGACGTCCTCAGCGGCCGAGAAGAACCCGAGCATATGGCTGAACACATCGCAGCCGCTCTGCAAAGCCTTCACCGTCACAGATTGTGCCTATTTATTTAATTTTTTACTTTTAATGCATTAATTGTGCCTATATATTTAATTTTTTACTTTTAATGTATTAATTGTGCCTATACATTTAATTGTTTACTTTTAATGCATTAATTGTGCCTATATATTTAATTTTTTACTTTTAATGCATTAATTGTGCCTATATATTAAATTTTTAACTTTTAATGTATTAATTGTGCCTATATATTAAATTTTTTACTTTTAATGCATTAATTGTGCCTATATATTATTTTTTTTACTTTTAATGCATTACTTGTGCCTATATATTTAATTTTTTACTTTTAATGTATTAATTGTGCCTATATATTTAATTTTTTACTGTTAATGCATTACTTGTGCCTATATATTTATTTTTTTTACTTTTAATGACATTAATTGTGCCTATATATTATTTTTTTTACTTTTAATGCATTACTTGTGCCTATATATTTAATTTTTTTTACTTTTAATGCATTAATTGTGCCTATATATTAAATTTGTTACTTTTAATGTATTAATTGTGCATATATATTTAATTTTTTACTTTTAATGCATTAATTGTGCCTATATATTTCTTTTTTTACTTTTAATGCATTACTTGTGCCTATATATTTAATGTTTTTTACTTTTAATGCATTAATTGTGCCTATATATTTAATTTTTTACTTTTAATGCATTAATTGTGCCTATATATTTAATTTTGTACTTTTAACGCATTAATTGTGCCTATATATTTAATTGTTTACTTTTAATGCATTAATTGTGCCTATATATTTAATTTTTTTTTACTTTTAATGCATTAATTGTGCCTATATATTATTTTTTTTAATTTTAATGCATTATTTGTGCCTATATATTTAATGTTTTTTACTTTTAATGCATTAATTGTGCCTATATATTATTTTTTTTAATTTTAATGCATTATTTGTGCCTATATATTTAATGTTTTTTACTTTTAATGCATTAATTGTGCCTATATATTTAATTTTTTACTTTTAATGTATTACTTGTGCCTATATATTTAATTTTTTTTACTTTTAATGCATTAATTTTGCCTATATATTTCTTTTTTTACTTCTAATGCATTACTTGTGCCTATATATTTAATTTTTTACTTTGAATGTATTAATTGTGCCTATATATTTAATTTTTTACTTTTAATGCATTAATTGTGCCTATATGTTTAATTTTTTTTTAACTTTTAATGCATTAATTGTGCCTATATATTTAATTGTTTACTTTTAATGCATTACTTGTGCCTATATATTTAATTTTTTACTTTTAATGTATTAATTGTGCCTATATATTTAATTTTTTACTTTTAATGCATTAATTGTGCCTATATATTTAATTGTTTACTTTTAATGCATTAATTGTGCCTATATATTAAATTTTTTACTTTTAACGCATTACTTGTGCCTATATATTTAATTTTTT